TTTCTGGATAAGCAGCTCAGCATTTGGCAGGACTGTTGCCATCACGTTAATTCGCTAGCTTTGTGGTTGACTGTTCTTCTGTATGCTGTCTGCTGATTCAGAGCTATTCATTCTGTCCTCTCATTCCTATATCAAATCCTCCCCTGGAAGACTCTACTTATAGCTAATGTTTAGAGCCCCATTGTATTTTCCTGCTTTCCACAGCTCAAAGGGCCACAAAAGTTGTCCAGTGCATGGGAAACTTTTAGGCAAGCAAAATTTCCCAAACTGTGCTTTAAAATACCATTTTTTTCTTCCCCAGTAAATGACTTATTTTGCCATATTCTGTTAAAAAACCCTCACATGACTACAGTTATTTAAGTAAATAGTTTTGAGTCAAAATGTGAACTTGTAGGCTTTTTTTAAATGCTAAATTGCCATTTTTGGATGGAAAGAATAATTAGTAATTCAAATATTAAATCACAGATTAGTCTAAAAACTATTTTCTAGCAGTCAGATCAGAAAAAGATTAGGCCACATAATTGCCTGACTTTTTCTGTACTGTATTTTCAAGATCGGTGCAAATAAAGTAACTTTTCAGGGAAGTAGCTTTTGGATCACTGTACAAAAATTAAATATGATAGTTATTAGGGTAGCCTTATGCATCTTTTTGAAGAGGAAATAAATCTTTTTATTGGTTGCAGCAGAGGCTTAGCTGACTTTATTCCCATCAGCTACATTAGTGAACACTCCAGATGTGCAGAACGCAGACACTCCCCAGATGTAAAAAATCGTCTTGCTTTTTGGCTGATTTACAGTTGTTACTTGTGTTTGGGCCATATTTATTTTAGGTAGAAAGGGGCTTCATTCTTCTGAACAGAACTTTATGCAAAGCTTTTTGTTTTCTCTTGCTCTGCAGAGAAACTGAACTTAAAAACCAGCGTCAATAGGTGGGTACTTGTAGGAGGAACAGGGTTTGAAACCAAACTGTGTGGGATTTAATTTCATGAGGCTCCAGGCAGTGCTAATTATAAACTGCTGCTTGGCAATGGGAGTAAACATCCCATCTGTGTTGCCTGACGCAGAGCGATCTTGCCTTCAAACCTCTGCCCTGGCTGAGAGGAGGAGTAGTTTTACGTACACTCTTCCACTCATAGTGAGTAGTTTTCATGTTCCAGGTTCTCCATTTAAAACCTTAGAAAAACAGTTCTTACAGCAAGATATGGAGAACCAAGTCACCTTTCTCCCAGTTTTTGGTTTTTTTTTTGTGATTAAATTGCTCTTCTTGGTTTTGCCTGCTTAGGACATGTTGAAAAATAACAGTCAGAATGTGAGCTGAGCAGTAGAAGTCTTTTGTTATAGATAACTAATGCTGGTAGGGCAAAACCTGGATTGAAATTAAGTGCTGGTAAACTTAAAAAACAATTACAAGAGATGTGATGGCTTTACTCTGGTATTTAAAGTGTTTCGTGAACAAGTTTGAATGTGTTGGCCTTCCTGTATTTTCTGTAGATTCTGTTATGGTTAGGTGTTGACTATTTCTACTCCTGGTGTTTTTAGGCCTCCTGAAGGGAAGGAGCACAAAACATGAGAGTATAAAATCCAGCTTCGTTGCTGGAAGTCAGAGAAGCTGCTTTTTGCCTGGTTGCCCAAGAGTTTATGCCCTTATGGCTGCCATCATCTTCATCCCCCAAGAGGGCTGCCAAACCTCATGTAAACTCTATGGAGAAGAGAGGCCTCTTTGAGCTCAAAATTTTTGCAGATTTCATGAAAATGAGCTGGGTAGCAGGACCCAGGTTGGGCCATCACCAACCGAATGAAATTTAAATTTAACAAAAGCAAGTGCTGGATTCTGTAAGTGGGATGGGATAATCCTGGTTATATGTACAAACTGGGAGACAAGAGGCTGGAGGGCAGCCCTACGGAAAGAGATCTGGGGGTTCTGGTCGATGGCAAGTTGAACATGAGTCAAGAGTGCCCTGGCAGCCAAAAGGGCCAACCATGCCCTGGGGTGCATCAAGCACAGCACAGCCAGCTGGTTGAGGGAGGGGATTGTTCCACCCTACACTGCACTGGTGCAGCCCCACCTTGATTTTGGGCACCTCAATATAAGCACATCAAATGGTTGGACTTGATCTTCAGGGTCTTTTGCAACCTAAATGATACTGTGATTCTATGAAACTATTGGAGTGTGTCCAGAGGAGCATGACCACGATGGTGAAAGGCCTCGAGGGCCAGACTTCTGAGGAGTGGCTGAGGTCACTTGGTTTGTTCAGCTTGGAGAAGAGAAGGCTGAGGGGTGCCCTCATCGCCATCTACACCTTCAGGGGAGGCAGCGGAGGTGGAGGTGCTGATCTCTCTGGTGACCAGCGATAGGACACGAGGAAATGGAATGAAGCTGGGTCAGGAGAAGTTCAGACTGGACATTAAAAACAGGCCCTTCGCTCAGAGGGTGGTCGGTCACTGGAACAGGCTTCCCAGGGAAGTGGTCGCAGCACCAAGCCTGTCAGAGTTCAAGGAGCGTCTGGACAATGCTCTTAGTCATATGGCTTAGTTTTAGGTAGTCCTGCAAGGAGGAGGGAGTTGGACTTCATGATCCTTATGGGTCCCTTCCAACTTGAGATATTCAATGATTGTAAGTTAGTGGGCCACTGAGGGAGCAGCAGGCAACATCCAGCAGTGGGACAGGGACAAGCCCACCCCTGTCACCTGGTCCGTGGGCCTACAACTGTGAGACCAGCTGCAGCGTGCAGGCTCCGTGGCACCCTGTGGTGCACAGGGCACTGGGGAGGGTGGAAGGGAGGGAGGAGAGCACCAGCGTTTTTAGAAAAACAAAATTCAAGCAGTCTGTTGCTCAAATCAGAAAGTTATGTTTGTGGTGATTCATCGCAAGTCTCCTTTCTTGGTGTGTTGCCATACACGTGACTGATGGAGGAACTTTCCGAAGCTCATGTCAGCTTCTGCAGCGGAGTGTACGTATGACTAATCTAATACCATAGCAGTAAGTATCTGAGAGCGGCAGTGGGTCTTTGCAAAGGACTCCTATTTGTGGAGTCACTTGCCTCTCTTGAATACCCTCTAGCTCATCAGCTTTTCAAAAGTGTGCTCTTTTGTTTTACCTGCTGTTTTTTCCCCCATCTGACACAAACTATGCAGATTACTGGGGACAGCCTGCTGAAGACAGAAATACCTGCTGGCTTGTGCTTTATGTGCAATATAATATATGCTTTATTTGCAATTATCTGTGTTTAGACTAAGAAAATGTTCATAAGCTCAGTTACTCTGGGTGCTCCTTAAACCTATAGGGAGTTATTCTTGGATATTCTTACTGACTTTTTCTTCTTGGATCCTGCTGCTGCTGTTATTCTAGTTCTGTAGCTTTATCTGTGTTGTCTGATTGTTTCTTCCTTGGAACCGGCTGAATCCCTGGTACTGAGCCTCTCTCCTTTCCGGCTAGGTAATTGAACTTTTAGTTTGGTTGGACCCACCCATACTAAAAGCTGAGTGAGACTAAAGACTAGCTTGAAGGATGTTTTCAGGAAACTGCAAGCTTGCCTGTGACTTTTTTTTATTCCAGTTGTTATTCTTTGCTTCCATATTAAAAAAAAAAAAAAAAAAAAGTATCTTAGTCCTAATTTCTTCTCTGGAAAAAAATAAAAAGGCATTATTAATGCAGTTATCTGAGAAGGAAAAGAGATTTCATTTTTTACCTCAGTTGAGAGGAAAGATGTCACCAGGTATATGAGCATCCATTGTTCCTGGTACTAGACTTGTGACTTGTCCTCGTCTTAACTTGGTCTGTCATGTATGCAGAAGGAACATTCTGCTTGTGGTTTGATGTTTGGTTTTTATTCCTCTCTTCAGATTTTGCAGTAGCCAGTTCTGATTCTCTTCTGTAGCTACATCCTTCGAGGAAAAGCCAGACACATCAATGCTTTATGCGTGTATCTCACTTAAGGTAGCTCTTGCTGGAATTAAGTTTTGCTCTGGCTGACTTGATGCTCAGTAGGTAGAAAAAGTCTTCTAGCTCTTTTGGAGCTGAAGCAGTATATTTGGATGTTGTTTTATTAAATAGCTGGTATCTGCTTTCATGTCTTTTTCCATGCTTCAGTGAAAGTAGGAATGATGAACTATCAGAAATATCCCAAACAGTTGTTTTAGCTGTCCATTTGTCTTACAAAGCTCTGCTGCTGGGATCACACTACTATAGTCATGCTGTGAAACCAGTTTGTATCGTGAGTATATGAGTTAGTGTGTTTGCAGTTGGCTCGGTAAGCAGCAGTAGCTCTAGCAGCTGACCTAATACAGCAAGAGAGAATGTTCTTTTCCTCAGGGCTGAAAATGAAACTTAATCTACGTAGAGTGGAGAGCCTGTAGTGGTGACATCTGTATTTAGCTGTCTTTTAGGAAGTTGAAGAGACTGCTTAAAGATCATCTGTGCTAATAACTTAACCACCTTCATACTGTTAACCTTAAAGGAAAGAGGTAAGTCTTACAAACCCATGAAAATTAATTTTTAATGCTAAGGTATTAAATCCATTACCTGATCGTATAACTTTCATACTGGCCTTTGTGCTCCAAGGCTGCTCTTCACACTTGAATCTTGTAAATTCTTGTGAATTGTAGCTGTGCCCCTGCTTATTTTTAGTTCAGTGGAAAGAAGACTGGGAAAGAATATGCTGTGGATGGCACTAAGAAAGCATGCAATAGCAGTGGCAAGAAAAAAGGATTAAGTGCATTATATTGACTGTAGGAATATATGTTCTGGCCCTCCAGACCCTTTCTATAGAGACGATTTTTAGTGCTGTTCTTTTTTTTTCCAAAGAGATGTGTGGATGCTGGTCTGGAAGAATAGAGAAGAATGTCTGTCTTCTGCTTCCTGCGTCAGACTAGAGGAGTATTTTGAGTCAGGGCTGAAAACATACCTCAAGATAGCTCAAAGACATGTTTATGACTATAATAAGTGTTGGTTTTGAGTAAGAAAAAACCAGTGTTCTTACTGTTGCTTTTATCTTCTACAGGCAATTTTGACGACTTCAGCTTAGAAGATGCAATTGGTAATTATTACACTCTTGCAAATTTTGGGAGATAGGCAGGAAATAGTGGGTGCTTTTTTGACTTGTTTGTTTCTGAGTATCACTGCATGACCAAGCATGACACCTTCCCCACATATGGTTTGTTTAAACCTCAGTGCAACAATTCAGCTATGGGTATGTCAAAACGTTGACTGCATAGAGCTGAAATTTGTCTTTGGGAACACTCAGGGATTCCTTTTAAGGGGAAGATGTCTTGCTGTATATACTTGAACTTGTGCTTTTCATTGTAGAGACATAGGATTATATTTGTCCTTTGTGTATCTTCTGAACAGTGTTAAATAGTATTTAAACTTTTTTTTTTTTTAACCATCCCTGACAGAAACTACACAGAAGCCTCCTCCATCTCGGAAGCCACCTTCATCTCGGAAGCCACCACCATCAGATACAGGTGAGATCTAATTGGCTTGTAATGCCTTTTACTGTGAAGTCAAGTATAGTTGTACATACTAATTTGAGAGCCTGAATTTTTCAATTTAGTGGCCCACAGAGTTCTGATATTTCTATAAAAGAAAGCAGTTCCCTAATAGAAAAAGGATTTCTGCATTTTGGAGTCTTCTGCTAGTGCTTTCACAAATTTAGTTTGTGACTTCACAAGCTTAAAGACCCTGGGAGAATACCTTCTCTTGGCTTTCAGTCTGGATGTTTGGAGCTTGCTCACCTTGGGCTGGCCCTTGGCATGTACCATGATCACCAAAAGCAGCATGTAGTTTGGCAGATAATGCCTGGTAACTCTGTGGTTCTGTTCCATGGGCCACTGTTGAATGAGCGTGCTATTATGTTCTTGGTGAAAACATTGTGAGGTGCATTTTGTGTAAAAAAAGTAGTCTAAAAGTAGTTCAGTTTTTGCATTACATTTAAAACTTCCCTTCTTTCTTTGAAGATAATTTCAACTTGGAAGATGCTCTTCATCCTGGTAAGTACCATGTTTTCCTGGATACTGCTGAGTGGTACTTGGTGCAATGTCTATCTGTCCTTTATTACCCAAGTGCAATAAGGGTACTGAGTTGATTAGGATAACAGACTGCAGATAAAAATAATTGCAGTCTAGTTATATTTATTTAGCTTCACTTTTAAGAGTCTGGATCACAAAAACTGTATGTATTTCACTCACTTCTTAGCCAAGTCCTACTTGTTTCATTGCCGTGTCTTCACTAGATGGCACTAATTCCATAAACTTACTTATGGAAGCAGTTTTTAAATCTGAATTAATCTCTTCCTTTCCAGGAGGTAATTTTAGTAGCACAAGGAAACATTAATCTGTTTGAAATAATATGAGGGAAGATACTCTTTCTAATGTGCTTCAGCTCTGCAGTGTGGGCAGCAGTAGAACTAGCAGTATTGTTTTCACTCAGCCAGCAGAAGGTGCATCCAGTTAGGCAGATAATGCACGGTAGCTTTCCAAGTACCATCACTAGACCTGTTGCAGTATAGAGAGCTTTCCTAACACAGGGCATACAATTGTAGGACAGCACTGTTTGCTGCTCTGTTTGATTTAGCCCTTTGAAGTTTTGTCTCTCTTAAAGCAGTCTGTTTCCAACTGCTGACATTTTTGAAAACAGAGTTGACTAATTGAGAAACAGTTGGCTGAATGAATCAGATGCTTCAGGTAAGTGAAGAGAGAGGATCCTTATAGGATGGCAAGCCTAAGCTGGAGTCTTAGAACTGTGCTCTGGAGATGCCTGCCTCTTTACTTGGAATATGCAGAGAACATAAGGAGACCTGATCTGACTTGTGCTAGAGCTGGGAGAAGGCAAGACCACGCAACATCAAGGAGAAGTAGCATACCGAAGAAATGGCCGGCTAGATTGGTTCAGCTGTTAGTGAAAACACAGTTTTTAAAAACCACTCCTGGTGTGTTAATCTGATGTGGGCAACAAAACCTGTGACCAAACAGTGCAGAGAAAATTACTAAGATCTCTTATTCTCCTGTTTTGTGGCAAGCTAAAGGAAGTGTCATTGTGGGGACCATATTTCTAGTTCTACTGTGTGTATCTTGTTTTTTTTGTGTTTTTTTTTTTTTTTTAAAAGTGAGGTACTCACCTTTATTATTGGTTAAAATCTGGTAGTATTAAAAAGAGAAAACAGCCAAGTAATCTGTACCTGGTGGAAAAATCTAAAGAAGTTCAGCATTTGAAATAAGATGTGCAAACTAAAATGCTGCATAGCATTTAGTGAGTTCTTCTGTATATTTTCAGTTACAGCAAGAGTCTGATATACAGGCTAATGTAGCAGAAACACTGTTAATTGCATTAAAGTACAGTGTTTAACCTAAAATAACCAAACAAATACAGCATTAGCTAACGAAAGGGAAGGAAAATGACACAAGAAGCTTTGATACCACTTTTTAGGTCAGATAGTCTTTCAAGGTCACTGTATGCTCTGCTTTTGGTCTCTTTACAATTGTAACTTTGCTCATTTTATTCTAACTCTATTTGTCTACAGATGACCCCAAGACAGGTCCACCTGCAAAACCTAGAGACACTGGTAAGACTGACCTAACAGGGATTTCTGAACAGTAGAAAAGTATTTGTTAATCTTTCCCAGTCCCTTTCAAAGTTACTGTATTGTAGTCCGCTTTTGATATCTTAACCTTTTTCTTTTCTCTTCCTGCCCGCCCCCCCCCCCATGTGTGTGTAGATAACCCCAAGCAAGGTCCACCTGTACATCCTAAAGACACTGGTAAGGCTTCTAGCACAAACTCCTGAATGGTGACATGGTTTTACTATCTCAGTTAATAATTACTCCTTGTTAATTGGCTACTATGTATGTCAGACATTGCACTGGATAAATACTGAGGATTGAGGAAAAATCGTCTTGCAAATAAGCTTTGCTGCAAGTCTTGAAATTCCATAGCAAACCTGTTGAGTCACTTTTCTTTCACTTAAAAGCAGGATGGTGTGGGGAGGAGGAAGGGTGGGACAGAGTGTGTGTGCTTGGGGCAGTGCTGTTCTTGGCTGCCTATGGTGGGGCACCTGTTTATTGGGTTGAGTCCTTTCATCTTTACAAACTGAATCTCTGCTAGTTGTGCTAAAAGGTAAATAGAAACTACCTGTGATCTGTATTCTTAAAACATCTAAATTAATAGTAAAGCTCAAAGTTAAAGGGTTTGGGGTTTTTTTAGTGTTTTGGTTTGGTTTTTTTAAGCCCAGTTAAGAAATACAATTCTTTTGTGTTTGAAAGGTAGGCTTAAAAGAATGTCCTTCCCTGCCTGTTGTGCTTTAGAGGTCTTCTCTGTCTTTGCCTAGCTCAGAACAAAACAGGTTCAGGTGAATGCAATTGTGATGATGCCATTATCTATGAATATGGTGGTAAAGAGTCCTTACCTGGAATGCAAGCCCTGGTTCTTGTTCCTCCTCCTGCCTGATTTGCAGTAGATATTTGAATTCAGGTCTTGCATGCCTCAGTACAGTGCTTTTGCCACCTAGCTAAAACATCCTCTGATGCAATGCTTTTAGTTTTGCTGCTTGAAACAGATTTGCTTTACATAAATTAAGGATTCATTTAGCAGCAGAGGGAAGGAGGAGGACTCAGGCCCCATGAGGTAGGGTCCAGTGGAAATGGAGAGGAACTGGTTCAGTGTGTGCAATAAATCAGAGGAAGGAATTACGTTTGGATCTTCCTACTGTCATGCAAATACTACAGCCACTGGACTGTGGCATGTTGAACTTTTTTTTAACTCTAGCTACTGTGTTGTACAGGTTCAAAAGACTGGTTGTGACTTAGAAACCCAACACTGAAGAAACATTCACAGCTGCAGCCTTGAAAAGAAATGGGCCTTTCCTTTCTCTGCCTTAACAGGATAGTGAGACTTGGGCTGTTCCAGTTAAGTAGCTTACAGGGCTTCTTGCTTGCTTAGCCCGTGACTTGTGCAGTACTACCTGCTCTTGGACACTGACGTCTCTCAGTTGTTTAGGAAGTCCAGAGGCAGTGGTGCTGCTATCAAAGTATATAGTACGAAGCTGAAGGGACTTGAGATTGGGAGGGCTTTTGAAATGTGAACATGTTGTGACTATGGTGCTGAGCCTAAAACCACCACAAACCCAGCTGAACGATCTAGAAAAAACTTCCATGTCATTATGTGCCTTGAGGTGTCTTTTCAATGAACTTAACATGTAAGATAATATTATTTTCATTTTTTATAGGTGGCCTTGATGATTCAGATCTATACGATGGCAGTTTACCAAAAGGAGGCAGCGATGGTAGCGGCAGCAATGGTAAGACAGTATGTTGTGCTTCATAGTGATCCTATGGCTATCTGAGGTTTTGATAAAAGCTTGCTCATAAGCTGGTTAACATGGTCAAATTTGCAACACCTTTGGTTCTGGTATCTGAAACTTAAGAGTGTGCCTTCCAGTTCAAAAGCAACATGTTCTGTCTCTGCCAAAAACCCCCAGATAATTAAGAGGTAAAACTGATTTAGAGGTGAAACCTTCAATGATTTTTACTGTTATGCTAAGAAACATGGGTTTTAAAACTGAGATGTGAATGCGGTACTTATTCCAAAATTCACCATGAATATAGTTCTTAAAGGCATCCAGGTGTTATTTTCAGATCTTCTGTGACATAGTCTCAGTTTCTTTTAGTTCTTGTGGTTAGAAAGCCCGGGGTGGACCAGAAGAGGCCCGCCTTGTCTTCTCAAAGATTTCATCTGTCACACAGGATGAATTGATCTTTAGACTTCCAAGTGATGTAGGGTATATCCACTCTGAGCAATACAAAACCATTTCATAGCTTACCAAACTCTTTTTAGTAATCTGCCATGTCTAATTGTTACGATGCAGCTCAGTACAGAGGTGGTCTTTGGGACCAAGCTGCAGTAGTGGTCATCATTAGGATGGGCTTAGTCATCCCTGTGTGCATTACTGCAACTGTACTATTTCCAGATCAGAGTTAGACTAAGTATCTTGATGTGGTGGTGAGATGTGCCACTGGTTACTGACTTCATCAGAGAGTTGTCCTAGACAGAGATTACTGATGCTAATTTTTTGGGAAGCTTTCGCCTTCCAAGATTCCTTTGGCGCAGTAACTTGAAAATTGGCAGGGGCAGGAAGCATCTGTTGAGACTTGTGTGGCTTGTGTGGTGTTTTCATTTGCACAGGTTCCTGCTTCAGTGGTATGAGTTGCAGAGTGACAAACAAGGATAGTATTTACAAAATTTCTGTCTTGTTTGCTAAGAGAATTGCAAAGGTATTTAGTAGATGAGGCTGGGATTGTAGGAAAAAAATAGTTGGTTCCATGGAAATACAGTTGAATGCTACCCTGAAATTATATGCTGTTCCTCTCCACTGAGTATTCTGTGGTCGTGGGCAAGTTGATTAAACCAGATTTCACAGGTGTGCTGCGCTCATGTTGTAGAAGTGCTGAGCACCCAAGGCTGAAATTGGCACCACCATGAGCTGTGCTTTGAAAATAGAAAGTTTGAGTGCCAGAGGTTAGCTTTGTATGGATATAATAGAAGGCTTGTAATTTTGCATGATTAATTGACAGAAAGGTTGTCAATTATGATATGACTGTTGTTTAAATGTGTAAAATCTAAACATTTTGTTAATTTTTACAGAACGAAAGGGCCCAAGTCCAAATAGTGGCGAAGAAACTGAGGGTAAATGCATAAGTTTGTGTGTATGATGGTGTCTGCATGTCTGAAGCTTGTTTTCTGGGTTTTTCTGTATTGCTCATATTCTGCTAGAAAGGTCACTGCTGGTAGTGGGTTTCAACTTAAAAACTTTTCTGGGATCTAGAGTTCTTACTTTCAAGCTTTGTTTTTGTAATTCTTTATCTATGATGCAAATGATTCAAAAGTGTTAAGGTCTCAGAGATCACTGGTGCAGTGATTGCACGTATACAACTTAGATTTAGCTATGAAAGAGTAGCTTTTTTAATTAATGGAACTTACAACAGGCATGCTTAAGTTGCTTAACAATAGCCATTGCTAAGAAATCAATGGTTATAAAAGGTAGAGGATTCACTTTTCATTATTCACAAAGACAGAGTTGATTACTACAGTTTCATGTAATAATTTCCATTTATTGTTTTTTGGAAGTGTTCACAGGGTTTGCTTTGAGACAAGTTTGACATTGCTTTCAATTCTGAAAAATATATACAAACATACTTTCTTTTTTCTGTATCATCCTCCCAGCTTCTCAGGGAGCAATAGCTGGAATTGTAAGTGCTGTGGTTGCTACTGTAATTGGAGCAGTATCTAGTTTCATTGCTTACCAGAAGAAGAAACTCTGTTTCAAACAAAGCGGTAAGAATTCTGAAGTAGTTTTGTTTTCTACTGTCTAAAGAGGCATTTTGTATTTATATGGGGACTAGAAATTGATCTTAAGCATAATGTAGTTTTAATAGCACATTGATTTTGTGTTCGCAGGGAGTAACCTCTCTTACTAGTCATCTATGACAGGGTGTCTGAAGAATACCTTGCCTGAAATGCAGACTTTCAGAAGCAGACAGTCTTAAGGCTTTGCATTTCTTAAAATAGAAGCACTTCCTGCTAAAGAGTAAGCAGGAGAGACTGCAAGAAAACATTTCTTTAAAGAAAATGGAGTGGATGTGGGGGATTAGAGACTATCTTCATGCTGAAAAATACTTTGTCATTTCTAATTTTGTACATCTTGCCTTTGTGTCTTCACAAGATGCTTGCCTACATATTAGTTTTCTGACAGCTACCTGGATGTTGATCCCCAAATGATTCTTTTTTTCTGCAGTCGTCCATTGTTTGCTATCTGCTTCCTCTCCACCTCAGTAAGATCTAACATGGATCAGAGCACTTTGGGAGTACTGTGGATGATAGGTGGGGCAGAAGCTTTGTTTTTGTCCTTTCTAGTCTTTCTGACTGATTGGTGAAGGGAGATGGTAGAGCAGTCATCCAGCCAGGCAGTGCTGTTTTGTAATTTGGGAAGTTTGGAAACTGAGTAACATCTACCATGCATGTTAAAATTAACATGCAGGCAACACAGGGGCAACTCAACTGCTATCAGTAGCCCAGTTTCTTCAATGCTGTTTCTTCTCTCAAATTGTTAATGAACAATTTCAACTATAGGAGAATTTGAATGCTAAACATCTGTTTGTTTCCCAGCAGATGAAGAGAATGTGAATATGGAAAGCCATCGAGGAGCGCAATCTGAGCCACCTGGTAAGAGAAGAATCTAGATGGAAGATGGAACTTTTTGGTGGGGATCCTATTAAATGCACTTTATTGACATCTGACATAGTGGGGAAGATTACTTACACTGTTTTGTTTTGTTTCAAAAAAAAATATTTGTAACTACCATGACAACTAACTTAGAACTGAATCAAGATTTCATTTCTGATAATAGGGCCACTCTTCTCTATTTTATTCTTTGAACAGATTGGTTTAGTGCCTTGAGGAGTCCTTGAAATACAGGAGCTTAGGGGAAGTAAAGAATTGGATTTTCTCTGCAAAAGTATTATTAAAGACAACTATGAAAATACAAGCCTGCTCCTTTAGTGTGATACATAACTGCAATTAGCTGACAGGTGGTTTATTAGTGTATGTTGTGTTGTGTCTGATTGGAATCTGATACCACTTTTGATTGTAAACCCATATAGAACTCTGCAAGACTGTGTATTTTAAAATGTTAATAGTGTTTGGGCAGAGATGAAGCCACACTCAGCAAGGAGGACTGAACTTACTAGTATGTTGTTGTAACTGAAACATTCTCTGTTGTGAACAGAGAATGATTCTTGTATGAAAGAATCATCAAATAATAATGATGACAAATAACAATGATGACAGCTGTGGAAGGATCTTTTAAAGCAATGAAAACCCTAACAACCTCACCCTTGTAGGTATGGTTGTCTAGGGTACTTGGCTGATGGAACAGGTGATTAACTCCAGGAAAGCCGTAGATATATCTGGAGGAAACAGTATAGGTGAAGACTTGGCCTTCTAGCCCTTGTGCCTGGTCAGCAAAGGAAGAAACAGTACAACCTCATGCTGCAGTTTGTTGAGTGTCTTTGAAAGACTGAATATTAAAATCTCAAAGCGGTATAAATTTGCAATATATTCTTCTGTGGGCTTAGTCTAAAACCTGCAGAAGTAGTTCTGGGGTTTTATAATTAAAAAAAATATATATTTTTATATCTTATTTCTCTCAGGTATTTCATTAGTTTTCTAAAAACTTCCATCTGGCTCATGATCCTTTTTATAAACATTTTTCCTTATATATTTAATAGCTTAATATATAAAACTCTAAAGGAGAAGACATTTTCTTGTGTCTGGTTTGAAGTCAGGACTGGAGGTAGGCCGGTATCCTCAATTCAGCTGTGCATTACTGAAGCAAGCAGTATTGTTCAAAGACCTCTACCAAAGGCACTTAACATAGGAGTTGGAGTCAGGATGTGCTAAAATTTTGGCCAGAATTCACCAGAACTCAGATGTGAAATATGTCAGAATATGCATACTTTATTTTAACCGATAAAGTCGAACTTTGGATGTTATCATAAATGATTACTTCTGCTTACATATTGATGTCATGTTACATCCCATATTTCATACCTCTATTATATACTGCAGGCAAGCATGCGCATGTTTTGAACCAAGAAACTGAGCGACCATGATCAGCATGGTGCTACTCCTGACCTAAGTTCTGGGAGTGAGCAGATGTTAGTTCTGTTTTTTTTCGTAATACAGTGTTGATATACCTACGTAACTTCTAGTTAGAAGTGGCCTTGCATTAAGGCAGGTCAGATGGCATGGCAGAACAGGTTTGCATTTTTAAAATTTTATGTAGACTTATCTTTGACTTCCTGAAAATGCAGATAACCTAGGCTAGCACTTTCTTTCAATAATGCACTTTTTCTGTCAGTTGTGCAGACTCTACTCCATTTTAGTTTTGCATCCACAAAACTGCAAGTCTGAAACTGCATGCTGGGTTATATTGCAAGTGTGGATAGCTACACTGATCTAGTAGGATGTGGTTATTTGAGCAAGAAATCTGGGATGTAATATCCCTTGCTATGCAGGGTACTGGCTTCACAGAATCACGCCTCTGCTTACCTGAATTTATCCGACAGTTTCAAATGCCTACTGAAAAAGCGTTGTCCGCATATACTTACATAACTTACAACGCATACTAACTTAGGGTACTAATCTTGAATTGTTTTTGACTTTTTAGTTCAGCGTACACTTCTGGAGAACTAAATTAAAGAAAACATGATGAAGAACAGATCACTGAAACTGGATAGAGAGCCTGCATTCTGCCTGAGGAAAAAAAAAAAGGAAACAAAAAAAGCATAATGTAAACAACAGAGTCTGAAGTTGCATGAGTAAACAAGTCTTGTTTGAAACACCTCTGGGAGCGTGACGCAGACCTGAGTACTTCGGTATGGTTAGCCCTGTGAAGCATTGTTGCACACCAATATATGGCCTTAATGACAGGAGCGTAGAAGTATGTTGTGCCTTTACATTCTTTCTTTTACTCCTGTGATGAATGTGTGTGACTCCAGTGCATTCAGTATGTTTAACTTTTCCTTACCTCTCCAAAAACAATAAACAATTAATGTTTTGTTATGCCATTGCTTTCAGGCAGTGCAGACACATTTTTTTTAATATCCTGTATGCAGTGAGTGTACCAACCAAACAACTTGGTATATGTTGTGGGCACCTGAAAGCAAATGGCTCGCTGTGTATGGATAATGAATCTGGGTGTGGGTGCTGCTGATACAATCTGTGTAGCTGCCTGGGTCAGCCACCAGGAAAGACATACTTGTTCTTAAGCATCCAAGAGACAAAAATTCAGTTTTGATTTTGCTTTTTCTTTTTGTTGTTGTTGCATCTGTCTGGTACAGATTCAGAACACTCAAACTAGCGCACACAGACCCTTCATCCTTTCTGGCTCTTCCTGCTTAGCCAGTACTGAGCTGGTCAGATGTGGAAAAGCCCGATTTGCAGATCAGAACCATAATTGGATTTTGTACATCTGGTGAGATTGATGTTTGGCAATTGTCTAAACAGTTGTGGATGAAGTATTGGGGAGTGGGGATTAACATCTTCAGGTTTCCATAACCAAAAACTTAACAGAAAGTAAAGTTGAATTCAGAAGGCTTATCATACACACTTAAAAGACAAAAACAGTACTACAGTTTGAAAGTATGTAATAGCAAGACTGACCAGAACAACCCAGCTTCGCTCCACAAGCATCCATTGAACAGTGCAAATAGCACACGTGTGAAGAATGCTTTTGGACTTGTGAAGGATTGCCATCGGGATGAGGACCTATGATTGCATCCTCAACTGAAAGCACCTGTGAGCTTTGCTGTAGCACTTGGAAGCCACAGGAGCTTTCAAGGATCTGTGGAAACAGAAAACTGCAGCTCTAACAGTTAAAGGACTAAGTCTAGAATAATAACTAGTTCTCTCTAGAAGGAATAGTCTGACCAGTTCTGTTGGCTTTCATTCTAATTGTTTCCAATTTTCATGCAGTTTTACAATATGTGTCTTACTAACGTGCTTCAACCACCTGGCAAAGTTCTACAGAAAGATGACATTTCATGGAACACCTTAGAAGTCACTATGAATTTGGATATTAAACATGTAAATATATCTGTGCATTCAAATATGAATGTATGCCAAGGATAATTCATTTAAGAATTTCTTGTACATGTTTCTTAGCTTGCAACAAAGCTTTACACAGATTTTAGTATTTTGTTATGGAATTAATTTGTAAACCTCTTTTTGTCCCACTTCTGCTTTTAGTATAAAAGTGCTAAAACCTTTCAGTGTGTTTGAGGGTGGAAAAGCGATTTTTATATAAACATTTGATTCTGTGTAAATACAAAGAAATGAAATGTACTGCTTACCTGCATGGATAAACAGGTATTTCATATCAACACCAATGTTTGCTAGGGATAGAATGGCAGGGGAAGCGCAAACTAGCTTTTAGCTAACCGGACTCTCGAATCCTTCTTCAGCTTTTGCAAACCTGAAAATTACTTATTAAAATCTCCTATCAACATTGTGATTTTTCTAAAAATAAATTAAAAAAAAAAAAAAAGAAACTGTTTATGTATTTTACTTCTTAGTAGCTCTAGAAATACAAAAATTTTGGTGCTCTACCAGAGAAGCAGTCTTCAAAGGGAGTTTGTCTTCCTGCTCCATCAGCCGTTCAGGTTTATTTCTTACAGATATTTTAATCATTTTAGAAGGAAGTTGGCCCATAGCAACAAAGCTGTGAGCTGTTTTCACGGGGTGCTTAGCAGTGCGAAGTGCAGAGAAGACATCTGTCTGTGGAGGACAGGCATGGCTTCTGAAGAACACCTAGATTTGGTAACACAGAATCTACTGACAATATGCACAGCAATAGAAGGCTTAGCGTGGGCAAACTTAACGGTGTTTGTGTTGAGTGTTCCTCATCCAGCTACCATCGCAGCCTCGAGGAGCGGACAATTTTGCAGGGCCACGTGTCGTTGTCTCACCTTCTGATGCAAGAGGACCATAACTAAATGAGATGGCAATGCAGGGGCTGCCAAGTGACTAATTAGTAACAAATTTACTCATTTTTTTTCAGTCTAAACAGGCATAGATTGCTGTATGAAATTTGGGAACAACTATACTCCACAAAGCAGGCAAACCTAAAGATGATAATGGCTGTTGTAATGCTGATCTCAGCCACTCTCCTCTCTGGCTTTGTCCATTTATGACTTCACAGGCTGGAGTTGTGAGAGAAGGAAGAAAGACTGGCTGCTGCCACCAAGGAACAAAAGGTTAAAGAGAAGGCTTGAAATTTCAGGCTATTGTTGTGAGGAGCAGCTCTTAATTTATGGGTTTCTGTTACTTATCTGTGGATAAAACACAGCAGTTCACTTGTTTTTCAGTTATCAGGGTATTAATTGCTAGGTTTTTCTCATTACCCATTGAGACTTCGATCTTGTTTCTTCCTAGCTCAACTGCTCTTGCATTGCATAACTAAGTATCTTAGTTCATTATTTCTCACATTCATTGGGTCAAGAAACCAGTTAACAATTATTCATCACCCTACTGAAGTGTTTTTATGGTTGTCTCCCACAGATCAGCTGCTGCCCATCGCGGCCTTATGGGCAGTCAGCAACTTTCAGATCCCAGTTTGGGAATTAACATTCTAGTTTCCGTACAGGTTTTGCTCAGACTCTGCAGTGGGATGAAAAAATAC